TTTTCTTTTCCTCTAAAAAAATGTAGCTTACTGTATCACACCAAAGGGCAATTAAGCCAGGCTCGACAAAAAACAACAACAAAGTGCTATCCCTAGCCCTCCCCCCTTGTTACTTAGAAATAGTTTGCGAGAAAGAGTTTCAGGTAGAGTGTAAAACAAATCACTTACCTTTATTAACTGGTCATTCCTGGCTTTTGCTTTCAAATAATCATGTTTCATTGTTTTCTTTTTCYTTTCCTTGTTGCCATAGAGACTTGCTGATGAAGCAAGCAGCACTTCTCGTTTAGCGAGTCTGAAGGACAAAAAATAAATATTGAATTTAGAGTGATGATCTATGTGAAGGAGGGAAACCAGAGGAACCTGGAATTTTGTTCATCCTTCCCCTCAATTTTGTGATTTCAAATTTACCACTTATTTGCACAGGTAGCCCAGGCTCATAGTTTGTGTTGAATAACTGAATTGATAGAGAGACAGACAGACAAAGATTATATGGGTATTATACGAAGAATATATAGGTATTTATGAATCCTCATTTTTCTGCTTTAAAATCAATAATATCAAACAAAACTCTCACCGTGTGTTGTTGATATATTGAACAGCCCCACAGCTTAACTTCAGCTCATTTCATTCAGGTTTAGATGACGCTCCCCCACCATACACTACTTTGTCTGTCTTTCTCTCTGTTGATTCAGTTATTCACACTAACTATGAGCCTGGGYTACTTGTGGTATTTAGGGAGTGTTTATAAATTCTTGTGTTGGGGGATTAATTATGTCGTAACATCAATTTAGGGGTACCCCTCTCCCCACACTCAAACATAACATATCCTCCCCCCTTCTCTTCCCCATCAAACAGAAAAAACGAAAGAAAAAAAAACATAAAAACGAAAAAGGATAGATTGGATAGATAGATTGATTAACTTTTTGACACTAAAAACATCAGGTCGAATATACACAAAAAGAAAACCTGAAACCTAGAAGAAGCTATGTTCTTTTGAATTGAGTGCCTAAATTGAAACTCATCAGATATGAAAATAGGGGAAAGTTTTAGCTTAAAAAACTTAGCAGAAGCTTCAAAAAGATATAATAAGCGAAAAATTGTGCGGGTTTACACTCACATTTCTTCGTGTTTTTGATTCAATTCTGCTTCTTCAGCCAACCATCTAATATGTCTCTCCTCTCTCGACGATAAATCCATTTTAATACTCACTAACTAAAGAATGAAGAAGGTTTTAAAGCTTGAAATCGTTTGAGAAACCTCTCATTACTACACAATAAACTGGCGAGTCCATCCGCCATCTTGGAAGAGCGAGCAGTTTCCATAGATACCTACACAGGGAACCCAAGTAACATCAACTGAAACGAAGGCTYATGCTAACTAAAATTTAACATATTTTACTCCAATTCTCAATGACCTCAATATTCTGCGAACTTAGACATTTACTAGACTTTTTACTGCCGCCAGTAAAGAACATGAAAGGTGCCCWCTGATCAATTTTCAATTGACTGCAGAGAAAAACCAAATTTCAGTGTTCAGCTTGTATTTACCGAGTTCAGACTCCATCACATCTATTTTTAGTTTCGTGACAACACTAAGAATCGCTGCCCCAGGAAGCGTTGCATGAGRACACTAATACCAGGTGTATGGGATATTATGGAGTTTGCAAAATATTGAAAAATGCAGTAAGCATTTCCCGTAAACAGAGAAAAAAACTTATATCTGTCCAGAGTAGACAGGGCAAGAGCGGATCCAGGGTGGGGGGGACAAGAGGGGCTGAAGCCCTCCCTTCACCAGAAAAAAACAAAACGAAACTGAAGAATTATATGCTTTTTTTATTATTTTCCATTGTGTTGACAGGAGAAACTCAATTAGCCCCACCCCCTTAAAGTTTTGGCTGGATCTGAGTGAAAATCACTCCAAGTCATTCTCGTTTCATTTAATAAGCAGTTATGAACACATTCCCTTTGCTATTGGGAATTGAATTCTTTCTTATGTAAAACGACTGTATTGTTTCTACCATCTAATATGGCTGCCGTCACATGATGGTGAAACACCTCTATTTTTCAGCCAGAAATAACTAAGCTARAACTAATTTTAGACTGTGATGATGACCATCAACTGTTCAGCCATAACTTTAAGCCCTGCGAGGGAGTATCTAGGTGGCAGCAGTTTATAATTTGTTTTATGTTATCTATTTTTTTCGAAATTTTACAATACAACTACTGTTAACTGGGGCCACTTTGACAGTTAGACAAAAGAAAGAAAATGTAGCTGTACACTGTGCTAAATGTATTGTTTTTCTTCTTCTTTAATGTGATGAGAATAAAGTATTATAAAAAGAAAAAAGGTAAAATATAGAATGAAAACAATGCATTCCAACTTTGAATGGTAGAGCCATGAATCAGAAACCTAGACTGCACGAGAGTTGTAATTTGGACCTGATGTTACKTGTAAACAACTAGACAGCTATGGTCATTTTCTCATGGGAATAAAAAGATGTTGAAAAGTTGTTTTTTACTGCTGTCTGATTGGCTTAACTACCCAAAGTTGGAAAGTATTTAGTAGTCACACTGTAACTATATTTCATTAACTGAATGCAACATAGGTTTTCTCTCAGGACGACATTATGTATGGTGATAGTGAATAGCACAATGCAGGTATTGCTTACGYAATGCTATCAAATACTGAAAATAAAACACTGGGCYGGGTTGTTCAAAGCTGGATAAGCACTAATCCAGGATTAACTCTATAGGTTTTATWAAAAKGTTAACCCAGGATTAGCACTAATCAGGCTTTGAACAACTGKGCCCAGAAGATAAAACTAGCCTGTATCAGCTGATTTAATCTGTATTACGACTGTCATTGTTGTTTAGCCTAAAAGTCTTTCAATAATAATATACAGATATACGCATGTATAGTCCACATAAATGCACAGGTCTTTTCATGATGACCACATAATGTTCTAGTTTATTTCTTGAGAAATGTTATTGATCATCAGTAGCAACATTCTGCATGTATTGATCCAGCTCTGCATCCAAGTGTCCCTTAGTTTGAGTCATGTATTCATCAAGTTCTTTATCCAGTGCATCTCTCGATTTGACAGGGTTAGTTTGGCCCCCTCGGCCTCTTCCACGACCWCGCCCTCCTCTGCCAGCACCTCTTCCTCTAGCTGCACCTGCACCTCTRCTGCYTTGAGCTTTTCCACGACCTCCACCCATACCTCCACGCATGCCACGTCCAACACCCCTTGACATTCCACCACCACGATTCAGCCTACCTCTTCCGGCACCAGCACCAAAACCACGCTTCAGTCCTGTTCCTTTTCTTAAACCACCTCTTCCACTTCCTATTCTTTGCTGGACACCACCTTGACCACCACGGAAACCACCTTGACCACCACGGCCGGCAGGTCGAAACCCAGTCATCTTGTTTGAACCCAGTCTTCCTTGCACTGATCCTTTGTTCTGATTCCCAAGTCKGTTTTGTACTCTTCCTCCAGGTGGCGATAATCCTAGAGCAGCTTGAACRCCAGGTCGGTTTGCCATCTGTGCCGCTAGTCGTCGATTCTTTGAACTTGCTTGGGATTGCTGCATCTGTCCCATGCGCAGACCTCCGAGGGTAACTTGTGGAGGAGACTTTATTTGGCGGGCAATCTCAGTGAAGCTTCAAGGAGAGGGAATGAACGTCTTGATGATGGGCATTTTTYATAATTGAATTATTGATATTTTCAAAATATCATAAAAATCATTGCTGATTTTTTTATTTTTTATTTGCCCTGGGGAATGAGCATTTTCTGGATGATTTCATTTCAATGAGTTACCTCATTTTTTTTTATCTGAGTAAAATGCAAGCACTTTACTCAAGCTGAGCTAAACAAGTTAGCACCAGCATTATCAGGCTGTGTATGGCTGTATTGGATTTTCACTTTCATTTTCTCAGCCTTTTTGTTTTGTTTTTGTTTTGACAATCATCCTTTACTTTTTCAATGCCAATTATGCATCTTCATCGAAAGTGATGAGGATTTTTTATTACAGCCTTTTGCTCATGTCCCCTATAGGTCCCTCTTAAGACTGCATTCTTTGCTCTCACCGGTCATTCAGGGTCTTGGATGTGGTGCTCTTCAGGACTATTTTGGCTGGTATAGCAGACATGACTGTTGTAATCAAATAAAACAAACCAAAAAGTATCATAATATTGGAGTAGTTTTCAATATTTAACAATTTATTTGCCAAAGTTGAAGTGATTATTGATGGAATATTTACCAAGCTGCGAGTCTTCGAGCAGCGAGGTATATATTCACCATAATCACTGAGCATAAATTTTTTATTCTTGAATATAGAGAGAAGTTGGAATATAGGATAAGAACGCTTTAGTAATACTTTCGATCTGGCAAACTTTGAAAGACCTCATATGGTGATTATGGTCTTAGWAACACTGCTCGATCAATCAATCAATCACAGTGCAAGAAACTTTGAATTCAAGTCTGAAATTATACTTAACAATTATTTGCCAAAGGTGAAGTGAATATYRGAGAAYATTTACCAAGACGCGAGTCTTCAAGCTGCGAGGTAAATATTCTCCATATTCACTGAGCCTTAGGCGAATAATTGTTTTAGCATATACCAACTTGTGTACAGAGTAACTTATTTTTATATACGATAATTAAACAAAAACAAACAAACAGAAACTTGCAGTTTGCGTGACAAATTCACACAAAACTTTTAGCAAAACGTTTAGGCCATATAATACTTCGTTGCCTCTTTAGTATTGATAGGAATGGCATTTACTTTCATTTTTTCAATTTCCTCATCAGAAGTCGTAGCAAAACGATTGCCGGCTGATGCAATTTTGTTGCAGACTCAATATTCCGAGATTCAGAGGTGAATATCGTACAATATTCACCTCCAATTAACCAATGAGTGTGCGCGTTCYTAGGAAGTACACAAGTTGGTTTATGCTTATCATTTATATCCACTTATTGAGGACCAGACATGAAAACATTTGGCTCAAAGTCATGCAGTATGGACCCAGTGCGGCAATATATTTTTGATTCTAATGCATATATTCCAAAAAATAAAAAATTGGAATCACTTTTTGTCAATGAAATAAATAGAGGATATTACATGGGCGCGCGGAGATACGAAATTTATCTTTGAGTGTTGAAAAGATCTCTCACAAGTGAGCGCAGCGAACGAGTGAGAGATTTTCAACACGAGAAGATAAATTTCGTATCTCCAAGTGCCCATGTAATATTCTGTTTATTATATATTTATCAATGAAGTATGTTTTGGCTTTTTCAGGCAATTCTTTCCTTGTATTTTTGAATAGCCATCGCTATGGTGTTATTTTCACACGTGAAAATAACATGTTATTTTCACGTGTGAACATATCAATTTTTCGAAATAGAGAAAAATAGATATTTCATTGGTAATTATATTATAAAGAAATTTATTCGAAGATTAAAAGATTCGAAGATTGAACTTTTGTAATATTTTAGGTAAAAATCAAATATTACTAACTAATTATTTGGTTATCATTTTGATCAAAACCTAAATAAAT